AGTACATCATTTCTTCAGCTGTACTGCTGTATGCGTGCCAAATCTTTAAATCAAAGCAGAAGCCAGCTGGACTACAAGGGTAGCTTAACTTACCATCAAACCCATTCAGAGTCCAGCAAAAAAACACAAATGTTTGCCTGGACAATGTGACTTATGTGCAAACTGATTGGACCGAGTGGGTTGGTGTTGAAAGGGACATGCCCGTTTCGACCAGAAAACTTTCCAACTAGGGTGGTAGGAGAAGGGTTGCCAAACAGGAACCTTGCATTTCAAAATAGGTTCGTGGAGTGGGGACAGGTGCTGAATGAGTGGCTAACAGGATCAGGAGACATTGCAATCCACACCAAGACATTTGAAGCCTCCACCTCTCACCAGCGTTTGCAGCCCGTATTTCGAAATTTGCTTTAAGTAGAAACTCAACCTGACCATGAGTTTTGAAACTTGTGTGCTTCTGTTGTACCGCCCTGAGCGTTGTCTTCATGAGACAGAGTTGAAAGCTAGCATTGAAAGCTAGACCTCTAAGGCAGTGGCTCCCACCCTTGGGTCCCCAGATGTTCTTGGACTAAAACTGCCAGAAGCCTTCACCACCAGATGTGCTAGCCAGGATTTCTGAGAGTTGTCGTCCAAGAAGTATCTGAGGACCCAAGATTGGGAACCACCGTTCTAAGGATACCACCCATTCTTGCCTTCAGATTGTGTACAAAGACCACATAGCCTCTCCTTTCCTCTGTTTATGGAAAGGACACTTTTGTATATTTTTGTGCACTTTTCTAGTCTACTGCATACAGACATGAGGTTTATTCTAGGTACTGTATATAAAGAAAACAATAGCCTACAGGCTACCTATGTTCAATATACATTCCCGTCCTTAAGAAAGGAGATGGCAAGGAGCGAAGTAACAATAGGATCATTGCGCTAATTTCCCATGCAAGCAAAGTAACACTCAGGTATGGCAACCAAGCCTTTTATGGAGCAAGACATGTCTGATCTGCTAGATTCTGAAAAGGAAGAGGCAGTTGGGGTCATGTTGAGATCATAACTATTTTAAATGTTTAGGACAATTTGACATTTTAGGAAAAAAAGCAGGACCAGGCCACATGGTCTTCAAAACAATACAAATGCAAGGACAGGTTATGAGACCATTATGACAAAATGTTTTGACATTTGAGTTACCCACCGGGAGGACAAAACTATATTGTTGTTGCAGTTTGCATTCTTAATTATTTCCGACTGCAGAAGTCAATACATACCTTCCTTGCTATTTTCAATACAAGGGCGCATGTTTCTGCTTCAAGTACTGAGGGTAGCTAATACTGGTTTTGGCCTTTACAGTTCTTCCCAGAAATCTGATTCACTCCATCCTTTGGCTAACTTTTCATCCCTCTGTTTTGTGAAACAGCATTTAAAAGAAAAAGAGCACATGGTAATTTCTCTGCTGAGGTCAGCACACAAAGCTTTTATGATGGTGTAAGAGACAGCAGGAAGAGGTCATGGGAGGGTTGCGATTCCAGTGAAATCTTTTTCACGCCATATATCATCACCAATTATTACAAAGATCTATTGTGCACCATGCCCATTATTATGTAATGATTTGAAGTTTGTTGATGCCATTTGTCATTCAACACATTTAGAAACACAAGAAATTGATTCCGTTCAGATCCTTGATCCATTCAGTTCAATACTGGTGACAGTGACTAGCAACAGCTCTCTGTGGTTTCAGGAAGATTTCTACCTAGTTCATCCTATCTGGAGATGCAAAGGGTATAAAGCAGCAATCTTTTGCATTCAAAGCATGGATTCTACCACTGAGCCAATGATGAGACTCGGTGGGGGAACAATGCTTCCAAAGAGTATTTATTGATAGTTCTGCATCAGAAATATATACACTGTAAGAGGGCTGGCAACAGGTTGCTGGATGTCAGAACTGTTTGGACTAGACCCAAAACTGATTCCACAGGAACACTGGAATTGCATTTATATAAGGAATACCATCACCATCATAATCTTAGAACTGCAGGGCTAGAAGGGACCCTATGGATCATCAATTCCATTCCCTATCAAGGAGACACAGTGGAGAATCGAACTCCCAACCTCTGGCTTCACAGCCAGATGCCTAAACTATTGAGCTATTCAGCAGTTCTGGAAGCTGGAGAGATCTCTGCCACATGATTTTGGGCATTGTGACAAAATAACCATGCATTGTATTCCTTAGCAGAAAGCATGACTTGTGTTGTAGTATATAAGTCACTAGTACTATACCTTCTGGGGGAGCTACACATTCTAACATTGCACTTTGTAGGGTTAAAAACTGGGTCAGATCATTGGCCTATTTAGCAAAGTCCTGCCAACTCTGAATGGCAGTGCCTTTACTTGTTTCCAGGCAGAATTCCTTCCTAGCTCTATCAGGAGATTGCTGCTGTTCTACAATAGTCACCCACCCAAGTACTTACCAGGCCCAACCCTGCTTAGCTTCCAAAATCAAACAGACCAGTGGTTTCTGACAACTAGATTTCTGATGCCTTGTATTTTTTTCTTTTCTTCCTAGGGTTGGGGCGACGTGGGGATTTGCAATGTAGGTTATACAAATACAGAGTTTATTTGGGCTTTTCTGCTATGCTGGATTTTGAATGGTGCCCTTTATTTTTCTTGCTGTTGTTGTGCCTTAATTTCTACAGGGCCTGCAGAGAAATCAGTCAAAACTCCAGTTGGGAAAAACAGAAACACAGTGTAAAGGTATTCTTCATGCTGTGGTTTTCCCCTTTTGGCTTGCCATGTGTTGGATGACTGAGCACATGACTAGGAATGCAGCTATTTCTCAGACCTATGAAGCAGAGGAATATGACAGCTATTCAGGAACACAGGTAAGCTTGCTAATGCAACACGTCTGCTTACACTGGATCCTGGCCATCATTTTATAAAGTGTTTAATAATCTTACATTCAGGGCCTACACCCAGTTGCTAATCCAAACTGGAATCAACCCATTGAATCAATGGAATTTGCATACGTTTTGAGTTACCACTTGGCAACTGATACAATGGGTAACTGGGACTAGCCTTTGCTTTGAGGCTCGAGATCATAACAGACACCTTAAAAAAAAAAATCTTCAAACTGCAGAGCTGAAAGGGGTCCTATGGATCATCATGTCCAATCCCCGTCAAATAGGTACATAGGGGGATTGAACTCCCAACTGCAGCCAGAGGCCTAAGGCACTGAGCTATGTAGCAGTTCTTCAGTTCTGAGTGATGTGTATGGATCTGTTCTATTTGATTATCTTCACAACAGTCTTGCGAGGTCACTGGGAGGTACTTAAGTACCAAGTGACCCTTGCCACCCCACAGTCATATATGGACATGGGACTGGATCTAGGTTTAGCTGTGTGCAACTGGAGTGGAAGAAGCCAACATCCCTATTGATTCTTCTGTAGACTTTGTCCCCCACTGAAAACTCTGCACGGTGCTGGAATTATAATCTTTGCATGCTGTCAAGTTGATTCAGGGTTATGGCATCCTCTTTGTACCCCACTGAAAACTCTGCACAGTGCTGGAATTATAAACTTTGCATGCTGTCAAGTTGATTCTGGGTTATGGCATCCTTTTCCAGGCAGGGGTTTCTAGGTAGAGGATATTCAGACATTGCGTGCCATTCCCTTCTTCTGGGGGGCAGCACTGGAACTGTGCAGCTTGCCCAAGGCTACACAGGCTGGCTCTTTCCTTAGGAGGCACAGTGAAGGTGTCTCTGGCTCTGCCTAAACTACTCTACTGAGCTATCCAGTCAGCTGCGCAGTGCTGGAGGATGTTACTAAAAGATGTGAAAGCACCTTCCAGGGGCACAGCCTTTCCCCAAGCAGTGGGAGCAATCTCAAATTCAATCCATGGACCTGCTTGATGAGTCCATTGGGTCGTTTCCATCTGGTTTCCCCATTAAATGAGCCCCAAAAGGGATGGGCATTTTATTTGTAAAATATCTCCATTCTTTTTTTGGCAGTTTGGTACATCTATGAACGTTACGGTCACCGACTCTTTTGTCTGTGGACAAGGCTCCTCAAAAGAGTCACAAACTCTTTGCTATGGTGGGATAACGTGTCTATTTGATTATCTTCACAACAGTCTTGCGAGGTCACCGAGAGGCACTTTGCCTCTGTGAAAAAGCTTTCATTCTGGCTTTTCCTTTAAACCCAACAGTGCACCAAAATGTCCTCAACTGTATCTACAGTCCCTCCACCCCCACATTGTCACGTGTGGACACAACCTGGCATGAAAACCAAGGGGAAGTTTCAGTTTTGCCCACCAAGGAGAGCGATTGAACGCTGATGGGTTTCATTCCAAGCAACCAGTAAGAGCTTGTGCTCGGAAGCGCACAGGGAGAGAGAGCTTTCCAACTCGGAAACGATAAGGTGAACACGAATTAAGAGAAGGGATGCATAATGCAAACTTAGGCCCTTCTTGGCTGGCTTCACGTGCATTCCTCCGCCCCTCCCTCCCCTCTTATTATCATTATTGTTGTTTTTTAAAACAAGGACATCCGTTTGGCTAAGACTTCTGCCTTGTCCACACTTTCCTGGGGACTCTGGAGAACTCCGAAGCTTTCTGGCCCACAAACAAAACAAGAGTCCTACCGAGGGGGTGGGGGTGGGGTAGGGAGAAGAATAACAAAAAAACAGCCGAGTCAGAGAAACACAGGAACTTTAATTAGAGCCCGAGAGTCCGCAAAGCTGCCCTGCAGTGGAACTCGGGGGCAACGTGCCTGCAGAAAGAAGCAGGAAAAAGGGAACAGCAAAAACGCAGCCCGGCTGCAAACCATCTCAAGGTTCTCCACCCTCCATTCCCCCCCCGGGGACTTTTTTCCCTTTCTTTCCGCCTTTTCTTTTTAATAAAGCCGTTTGCAAAAAAAACAGTCAACTCCTCCGGGGCGGCTTCGCAAACAAACCGGGCTGGCTCTTTAAAACAGCCGAGCCGGCTGCAAGTGGCTACAAGGCAGGTCCAATAAGCGTCTTCAGCACCTCCCCTCCGACGTTAAAAAAAAAAAGAAAAAGAGAGAGTGAGCGAGCGCAAAAGGAACTGGTTACAACAAACCCTTGGCTCTCTCTCTCTGTGTGTTTTTCTGTGTTTTTTTTTTTAATTGGCACATGACAGCGATGTATATAAAGCCCTGACAAGTCCGATGCCTTTTTGGAAACGGCAGGTACGCCCGAGGAAGGGGGAGATCCGCGCCTGAAGGATGCTCCTCTAAGCGAGCGCGGTCGCCCCGGGCGCAGCGGCCAGGTGGAGAAGGCGCGCCGGTTTGGAGACGGGGGGGCACCTTTTGGCGCGCGGCTTTCGCTCCCTTTCTCCCGCTTGGGGGTGGATGCGCGAGTGACAGCGCGGCCGCGCAGCCCTTCCTCCCCCCTCCTCTTCCTCCTCTGCCTCCCGAGCCATGCCTCGGTGCCTGCGGGGCTCCTTCGTCCTCTGCCTGGGGGTGGCCCTCCTGCTGCCTTCCCGGCGCGCCGCCTTGGAGACGGAGATCGTCACCCCCATCCGCTTGGATCCGGACCTCGACGGGCGGCCCTACGTGCAACCGGGCTCCGGCTCGCCGCCCCCGCGAGGGGCGATCTTCCAGATCAGCGCCTTCCGCGAGGATTTCTACTTGCACTTGACCCCGGACGCGCGCTTCTTGGCGCCCGCCTTCGCCACGCAGTACCTGGGCGCGGAGGCGAAGCGGGTGGCCGGGCGCGACTTGCGCCACTGCTTCTACTCCGGGGACGTCAACGCGGACCGGGACTCCTTCGCCGCCCTCAGCCTCTGCGGGGGGCTGACGGGGGCTTTCGGCTACCGCGGGGCCGAGTACCTCATCAGCCCCTTCAAGAACGACAGCGGGAACCGGGCGCTGTGGAGCAACCAAGGCGAGCACCTG